CTAAAATATATCTTCTAAAACATCACTAGACGCCACTACATTAAGTGAAATTTCATCAGTAGAGCAGAAAACATAACCAAACCAAATACACAACAGTAAAATGGTCGTGATGACAGCTGGTACAGTATCGGCAACAGGTGACGCGCCTACCAATATGGTTTTCATTCTCAGAACAACTCCGATATATCGGCGCTTGGGGCTCTAAGGGTTAAGTTTTACCATTTGTTTGTCTTTAACAGTTCTTTTCACATATTTCACTTTACATTAGATGATTCTCTCTTCTTGTATAGTCCATTGGCATAACTTAAAATTTATGTTTTCATCAATATCATTAACAAAAGGTAATTCATTTTCAAAGTATACAAGTGAGAGGATAATAACATAAAAATATATCAAAATATAGCCTAATTTAAGATAACTGTAAAAAAATCTATAAAATCTATTTCTACTCCATAGGCTACATTGCAATTTGATAGTAGTCTTTTTATAAAATATATATTTAACTAAGTCTATCTATGTACTATTAATTCTATTGTAATTGATTACAGTATACAGTATACAGTACTATTAATTAAAGCTATTGGGATAGGGAAGCGTCTGTTCTATACTCGGTAAGCATGGTCTTCCACGTCTTTTAGCAGGTGAAAGATCAAGTTCTTTGAAGTCTTCGAATTCACTATACAAGGTGTGGCTAGAAAAAAACCGGACTGATGCAGAAAAAAAATTTATTTACAAAATTATTTACAATTTGATGTTATCTCCTTCAATGTACTCTCCTCCTTGGTCTCTACACCGCTCCATACGAATTTTCCACTGTTCATAGCAATGCTGCAGATCATTTTCAGTAAGTCCATACATTACTTCTGTCGCTTTTTCTTTTACTGCTTCAACACTCTCAAATCTAGTTCCTTTCAAAGCTGACTTGACTTTAGGGAAAAGAAAGAAGTCACAGGGGGCCAAATCAGGTGAGTAGGGTGGATGGTCTAAGATTGGAATGTTGTGATTGGCTAAAAACGTCTTCACTGACAACGCATTGTGAGCTGGGGCATTGTCTTGGTGCAGAATCCATGACTTTGTTTTCCACAAATCGTTCCGTTTTCTCCGTACTCGCTCACGTAGGGTAGTCAGGACACTAATGTAGTAATGCTGATTCACTGTTTGTCCCTCTGGTACATAATCAATGTGCACAATCCCTTTGATATAAAAAAAAAACAATCATCATTGCCTTGAATTTCGATTTTGACATTCGTGCTTTTTTTGTCGTGGAGAAGCAGGAGATTTCCAATGCATCGATTGGCGTTTGGTTTCGGGATCGTAAGTAAAAAACCACGATTCATCACAAGTAATAACATTTTGTAAGAAGGTGGGATCACTTTCAATGTTTTCTAGGATGTCAGAACAAATCTTCGGCGTTCTTTCTGTTCAATTGTGAGACACTTTGGAACCATTTTTGAACACACTTTGTTCATGTTGAAACTTTCATGAAGAATCTGCCTAACACTTTCCTTGTCAATTCCTGTCAACTCAGACATTGCTCTGATTGTTAAACGGCAATCTTGTCGAACAAGTTTACCGATTTTTTCAATGTTTGCATCAGTTTTTGCTGACAATGGTCTGCCAGTACGAGTGTCATCACTTGTGTCTTCGCGGCCATCTTTAAATCGCCTAAACCACTCAAACACTTGTGTTCGCGATAAACAATCATCCCCGTACACTTGTTGTAACATTACAAATGTTTCACTTGCAGATTTTCCAAGTTTGAAAAGAAATTTGATGTTAACACGCTGTTCTTTTTGTACACTTAACATTTTTCCGACGCACAGACAAAACGACAACTACTTAGAACAGACGCCACGGGCAGACTGAGTAAAGAAGGCAGATGAAACTTGAGTAGTAGGCGGGGCGAGAGTCACGTGACAGGCCACGCGACTTTCAGCCTTATTGCATTCGTTTTATTGTTGCACCGGGACTAGTCTGTGTCCCTTTCTGTATTTGCTCTTCTATAATGTGACTTATATTTGAGGAATTTTTGTATGTGCCCGATTACTTCTTTCACTCGAGAATCATCAATTTGATTTTTTCCACCACTGACGCCACGACAATCACGAACTCCTTCTGAGCGCTTCATACTTTTCAGAGCACTATTTACTTTGCAACTGGATATTCTTAAAGTCTGCAAAAAAAAGTTTTACATACAATCATTCCACAAATTTTGTACAACCTACTACATTTCCTTTTGTTTGATGTTTTCACTCTTTTTCGTTTTATGTCTAAACTCCTGAACCATAGAGCAAATCAATGCACGCTGAGCATCATGCGAATCAACACTATAAAACTTGTCAAATTCCTTTTTGGCATTTTCCTCACTAACTCTTTCCAAACATTTACACGGGCAAATATAACGCCGGAAATCTTTGGATTCTTTGAACACATTTCTTTGTGTAAAATAATCCTTGTTTTGGATGCACAGTCTTTTTCTAGTTTCTAGGTTTTGGTTTTCATACTTAAGTTTTCTTCCTCTTTTTGGCCTTCCTTCCAGTACCGGTAATCGATTTTCACCTATTTCAGGGTTGGTGTTTTCCACATCTTCAACTGTATCAGGGTTGGTATTTTCCACATCTTCAACTGTTTCAGGGATGGTATTTTCCACATCTTCAACTGTTTCAGGGATGGTATTTTCCACAACTTCAACTGTTTCAGGGATGGTATTTTCCACATCATCACTTGAAGGCTGTTGTAGAATGTCTTCTGCTTGGTCACTGCTAGGCCTGCCACATTCATTTTCATAAAAAGTCAAATTAGAGAATGGCTCATCATTGATTTCCTTACCCACCACTACACCTGCATTCAAACCATTGCTAATGTGTGTTAAATTATTATGATAAGTACTTGTCTTAAGTGGTGTGGAGTGCAACTGCTCAGAAGGCAGTTCAATAATTTCACAGTTTTTTTCTTGATCGTCAAAGCAATAACTGTGTTCAGTATCTGTTTGATTGGTAAATAAACCTAATTCTTCTGAATTATTGGCATCAACTGTAGGGATAGACTCATCAAAAAAAGTTCTTGGCAAATCTAGTGATGTGTCATTAAACGACGATGAAAATATGTTACCTGGTGACTCCAAGTTAACAGGTACTAACTCTGTAAGATCCACATCCTTTGGGAGTAGCGGATCTGTAGGCCTACTTATAATGTCTGAGCTTGAAGACGAACAGCTACCATTAGTTTGTATACACTCCAATATCGGTACTTGAGAAGATAGGTTGCGATTCTCTTCAGTCAGGAAACATGTATCTTCTTTCTGAAACAACAAAATTAAAGTTTCATGCAAATAGGGGTTCGGTTTCATAAGCAGTTCAAGTAACTTGCATTTAATTTTATCAATATTTTTTATTTCGATAGGCTTACTAGGCCTACCAATATGTTACAGTTGATATAACGGTTGTGATAGGTTTTCCAGCAATAACCTAACCTATAATCGCTGCAGCATATTGTGTAAGTTGGCACTCGCAAAGCAACAACATTTCACCGCTGGAGGTTGCTCTCAAACTTGTAAACCTACTTGTAGGGAAAATGTCGGTACTTTCCTGTTAAAGGGAACATTCATTATTATCGATGATTTTTTCTCGATATATCGATATTAACAAATTGAGAAACATATCAGCTGGAGCTGACAACTACGATAAATATTGTTCAGTACAGTATCAACAAACGATAATGAAATGAAAATGTTATAAAAAAATAACCTAACATAACTAACCAAACTTGCTGTGTAACATTTAAAAACTCCGTTTTTAACAGCAAGTTTGTTTGGTTATGTTAGGTTAGCTTAGAACAGTTTCATTTCTTAATCCATATAATAGACTATTTTAGCCTAAACAAGATCAGTTGTCAATTTGTTTAACGGATCGGAAAACAAAAATATCGATATATAGCGAAAAAATCATCGATAATAATGAATGTTCCCTTTAACAGGAAAGTACCAAAATGTCAAAATAAAATATTTATAAAAATACCAAGGCTATAATTATAAAATACTTTAACCCCATTCGGTTATAATATCAATAGTATCAAAGTAAAAAAGTATTGATACATATTACTCAAACTGTTTGTGAAACAAACCCCGAAAATAGGCTTTGGCTTAGGTTAAGGTTGTAGGCTATTTTTCCTTTCAAACATTAATCCGTTACATAGGCCTAGTTTAGTCATCAAGCATTACTAACATTTCATTAAAGGTACAAGTTATAAAAGAAGTCTATTATAAGTTGTTTTAAAGAAGTTTACATACGAAAGAAACTTGTGATTTCTTACCTTTAGAGCTTGAGATTCAGTTGAAATCCTTGTTGCATTTGCAATAATTTTCTTCGTTCTTGTTTTCAAACTATCCATAATTAAATTACAGAGAACAAAATAACAAATAATGGCAACACTCTCATCACAATTATACGCTTACAACAAAACTAGGTTAGTGGTACACAACACATACAGCTGATGTAGTTTGTTTTGTTATGATTGTGAACAGATGTAAACCAGTCATGCCACCTAATGCGTTTGGCATCACAAGACCAAAGACCAGTAAAAGGCGCTTGGTCTACTGTTGCAAAACTAAATATGGGATTATGGCTTTTGGTTTTGTTATGCAAAACAGAAAATCAAACATTACTAAAGTGGCACTTAAGTTTTCCAAATATTTCATGGCAACCGTTGCTAGGACAAGGATGGTGATTTTTTTGTAGGTTAGTTGCATTGTTTCTCAATAGAATGCGCAGGAATACTGAATTTTTAAAATTGGCGCTTGGTATAGTGATGCATAACACCGTCCAATTGTGCATCAGAAACAGCTGATTTAAATATTAGATGATTGTTGAATGCTGAAATATTGCCAACAAACTGAAAGATCTTTAGGTGCTGGGAATTTCCCTCTTTGTTATTGAACACAGTGTAAGTTGTACTACGCAAACCCTTTATCAAATTATCAACCCCAACACTACATGTTGCAGGGCAGATTTCTGGAGGGAGCTTTCTGGTTCGCAGTGTTGCTAAATTTGAAGCACATTTTCATGTATGTTGCTCCAGCCTATGGGGTGTATTTGCTGCGTAACTACTGCTTCGTCTCTACGCCACAGACTCACTCAGGCAGTGGTGAACCTGTCAGATGGAGGTCCTTCTCTCCTTCACGCTTTGCCAAGCTTGCTGCCATCGTAGCAATTGTTTTTCTCATCTCTTTCGGCCCATTTATTGCCATGGGACAGCTTGGCCAGGTAATTTTTAATTCTACTTTAAATTTTTTTTTTTTTACTTATTTATGTGACTTTGTAACCCTTTTAAATGTTTTTAACTACAGTAGATATATTTAGTATCAAACTTTCAAGCTTTTCTGATGCGCCATTAAGGGTTGAGAAAATTGATTATCTTTGAAAAAGTAACATAAAATTGTGCAACCTAATGGTAATTTTAAATAGAGAATTTGTTTGTTTTTACAATTTCAATTATTTAATTGAGTGTTCTTGTAAATCTCTGATTTTTCCAACCTACAATGGCAAAGATGTATTAAGAAATCCAGCACTACTATTATATATACTATAATTCAATTTTGTAACCAAACTAGTTTTGCTGTGATCACAGACTTTGTCTGGTTGGAAAAGACGTCACAGTGACACAAGTAACAAAACATCTAATAACCATATACAAATATTGAAATATTTGACTGTCACTTTTACCATTTTAAGGTAAGCCTGCTTCCCAAAAAAAATCCAGGCTCTGGAGTTCTATGTTTTTATTTTTGCTAAGGCTTAGTAAAAGTTTGTGTATGTTGCAGGTTTTGTCTCGTTTGTTCCCATTCAAAAGAGGTCTCAGCCATGCCTATTGGGCACCGAACTTGTGGGCTCTCTACAATATGGCTGACAAATTGCTTACTGTTGTAGGTATGGTTTTACCAAATTCACGTTTTTTTACCAAGGTGTTTTAAGCAATAAAAATTGATTAGGCCTATTTAGTTTCATTTTATGGTTAGCTAGCATTGGACCACACCTGTAATTTAGAACCCTTTCAACCTCTTCGTTTAACTTTTAGTAATTATATTGCCATATACATGCCTGGGCTGAGTTTAAGATTTTTGCATTATTAGATATTTAATAGAAAAATATATTTTATGTAATACTAGCTGTGTACCCGTTCTACGCACGGGGATCTTATAATATTCAGTTGAAACCTTCTTATATAAAGAACAGCAGTTGGTTTGCATATTTTAAGATATGCTGGCCAAACTATTATACATAGCTTCATTTTATGTTGTTTTTTGTTGTTCCGGATCGGTATGACAATCAATAAAAGGTTAAATTACCTCTGTGTCTGCCGGTCGATCCTATAACGGTAGGCTTACTTTTATTTTTACTATCTGATCTCGTTTGCATGGCTCAATCACGTCCTGGTTGAAGTTCGTTCGCTACGCTCACTCACCTGTATGTTGGAGCTCGTTCGCTGCGCTCACTTTCCTTCAGGTTAGCTCGTTCGCTACGCTCACTTGCCTTCAGGTTAGCTCGTTCGCTACGCTCACTCGCCTCCAGGTTGCAAATTAGCTGTTGTCATAAATGTAAAAGAAATAATAGTGCTAGTGCTGCACCCTGTTGGTAATCCTTGTAACTTTAATGCTATTGAACATCACAGAACAGAACCAACTTGTTTAATTGAAACAGCTGTTAAGATTCAATAATTTCATTTCTCATAAGGTTAACATGGGCTTCCAGAAATTCCACGTCAAAAATCGACAAAAACTTGATTTTCAAGGGTTTACTGTTAAATATCTAACTGTCTCATATTCGATGAAATACGTCTAAAACCATCTCATATATGTATAGTATTTGGAAAATAAGTTTCAGGCGGGACAGTGCTATAGTTATTGAGGAGTAGTTGTAATAAAGTGCGTATTTTAGCGTTACCAAGAGAATGACAGATAGACAGACAGACAGACAGACAGAAATTGAGATAAGGTTTGATTCGGTTTCTCTGACCTATGAAATGTAAAAATAACCAAAAAGTTCATTATTCTAAGCAATGTACAGACAAAACTCTAATTTTATTTATATAGATTTGGAATATGGTAGTTTTTTTAAACTTTATTTTTCATGCTGAAAGTGTCTAAACAGTTAAAACAGATAATTTTTTCATATCAATAATTATTATGAATAATATGAATAGGTACTTTGTGAATAATATACGGTAAATCTTGAAATTGACAGTTACGAAGTTTGGTGGAATTATTTTTAGGCTAGGTCCATTTAATAAAAACAAGCATAACTTTGTTCATAAGTATTATTACAGGTAAATAAATACAAAACACTTACATTTTAGTAGTGTAGAAGGATGTGAAACTCCTTCATGCACGGATGAATGCACGGGGGCACACACATGTAGTGTAGGTGTCTTGACTCTTCTTGGGTCTCCTCTTGGCCTTTGGATTTTTTCAGTGGGTGGAATGGGTTCCAAAAATGCTTGGCGTTCAGTTGAAGTCTGGCCAAGCGATGGCCTCCCACCTTTGAGACTATGCTTCATCACATAGTGTTGCAGAATCTCTTTATCTATATACTTATATAATACGCAAGCAGGTTTTTTGTGACAATTACTCCTCCGAAACTACTGAACCGATTAACACGTTTTTGGTCTCGTTGGAAAGAGCGTAACGTGATGTTGTGCAGGAATCTTTCTATTTAGGGAAATAATTAGAGAGTGAGGCCCTGGGGCCCTTTAAAGTTTCACCCTCTGCTCTTCGAACTGTCAAATTTAACACGTTGAATGCTCAAAAAATAAGTATATACCATCACCGGTGGCTAAAAATATTTTATGTCAAAATCACTTACCAAATGGTGTTGTGAGTCTGGTTCGGGGTCGCTGTCATAAAAAAAACGAAGTTTCCGATCGTCCCGTGACGTCATCAATACCGCCGCTTTTTGTCGGCGTGCGCCACCAGGGTGCGACGCTCCGGGGAATTGCACAATAATCCGGATTTCTTGGCATAGTTTGTCAGTTTATGTATCAACATCACTATTTTTTTCACTTTTTCACAGTTTTCGGTCGTCCTAAGACGTCATCACTTCCGCAGCTTTTTGTCGGCTCCGGAGAAATTGCACAATAATCCTGATTTCTTCGCATAGTTTGTCAGTTTATCTATAAACATCACTATTTTTTCACTTTTTAACTTTTTTATTTTTTTTAGTTTTCACAATGTTTTTTTTTATTTTTTTTCACTATTACTAAATATTTACAAATAATTACAGAGTCTCTGTTTTGACTTTACATGGAGTCGTGGTACTTGTCAAAGCACCGAATAGGGCATAAGCCTGGTTCATCAGGACAAGCTGGGCAGAAATACACTACATCCAATCTCTTGCCCTCCTTAGAACACACCCTGCATTGTTTCTTTTTGCGTTTTCCAGCAACGTCAAGCGGTACCTTCGATAGTATGTGGTTCGGTCTCTTCTTGGTGCTGATACTAGCTGGCGATTCGATACTGGCCGGTAGAAGGTATTTGATGACCATGTGCCTGTAATCATACAGCTTCATTTTGTTGTCAATGTACGCAAGGTTATACATTGACCAGGCATTCACCATCATCACTTGCAATACATGCACGTACACCTTCTTGTACCAGCGTATTGTCTTTCTTTCGCAGGGATAGTACGACATCATCTGTCAACTTCCTTCATGTGTCCGTTACACTGTATAACTGGTACCGGCTTCTCCCGTAGTTCACCACGCTTGTTCCTGCTGTTCTCATAGTGTTCTCAAATTCTGTGCTCATGTAAAGAACGTTTCTCTTGTCCTTCCACTTGGCTATGAGAACACCTTCTGCGTATCTCGCTACAGTTTCTCCTTTCTTCAGTCTAGCCGAGGTTACCTCCTGAGGTAAGTACTTCCGGTTTTTGCGCAACGTACCAGTCACGTACGTTTGCATGGACAACAATTTGGCAGCTAACGGGAACCCATTGTAAAAATTATCCATGTAAAGGGAATGGCCCTTCTGTAAAAAGGGGGTCATCAGTTGCATGACAACTTTTGATGCGTGTCCTGGCCCACTAGTACTGTCGCCCTTGCCTGCATAGATCTTCATTTTGACAGTAAGGCCATGAGGTTCATTGAGGCAGTAAAACTTGATACCGTACTTGTGACGTTTATGTTTTATGTACTGCCGGAACACAAGTCGTCCCCGCCATAGTACCATTGCCTCATCAATTGTTAGTTCTCAACAGGGGTAGTACAACTTTGCCATTTGATTATTGAAATAGTCAATAACATCTTGAACTTTAGCTAGACGGTTGTCTGACTGATCGTCTCTATTGGTGCTGAAATGTAGGCATCGAAAGATTAGCATAAATCTATCCCTACTCATGTACTTGCAGAAGAAAGATATGTTATACATGTCGTCAGTTCGCCAATAATCTTCCAGACGGCTTAGCTTAATATGGCCAGTGTGAAACAATAAGCCAATGAACACCTTCAATTCAGGCACAGTTAGATCTTTCCATCTGTGAATACGTGACTGTGGCATAGTAGTATTGCCGCAAAAAAATTCAAGGGCATACTTGTTCGTTTCGCGAACAATCATTTCTAAAAACACATCGTCCCGCAACATTGAAAAGAATTCAGATGGTTGATTTGCATTAGGTATAGGCACGCGAAAACCTTCGTTACCAGTGAAAGGGATATGTTGCAAACCTGCAGTTTGGGGGAGCCACGTGGGCTGGTTGGCAGCCGTGATGTCATCCTCGACGTCAAGGTCAACCTCACTTTCCGCGGAACTCTCATCGCCACTTGTTGCTATGTCCTCCTCACTCAAAAGCTGATCTTCATGAGACGCACTAGCCATTATTGTACAACACAAATCACCTAAGGGTTCACAGTAACTCACTTTGACGTAATACTAACGATAATAATAAAAAAGTCACGGAATCCGGGAAAGGCACTAACTGGGCTAAGGTCGGTACGTACACAGGTGGCTAACGCAATAGCACCCTACTCCGACCACGGCTAAGCTCACACTGACTCAATGTATTTCAGGTGGTCTGACGCCGACTGTTGTCAGCATGCGCCACCTGGGAGCGCTGGCGACGCCGACTAAAATCGGTGCGCGCAGTCAACGTGTTAAGTATTTACAGCTGACTTAAATTAATTGATATATTTTAACATTCTTTCAAAATGTAAACATGGCAAATTTCAAAGCCAATGGGGCGTAGCCCAAGGGAAATATGAAAATTAAATTATATAATATTGCATTGTCATCCATTTGTGAGCTATGTTACAAATTTCAAGTCTCTAGCTCATCGGGAACTTTGTTTAAAATTTATATTAAAATTTGTAGGAAAGCGAGCTAATTTAATAACAAGCCCATGGGGTGTAGCCCAAGGGAAATATGAAAATTAAATGATATAATATTGCATTGTCATCGATTTGTGAGCTATGTTTCATGTGTCAAGTCTCTAGCTCATCGGGAAGTTAGTATAGTTGATTGCAAAATTTGTACCGGACAAGAAAGCGAGCTAATAAAAACGTTTTTATAAAATCAAATCTATTTACAAGTCAAAACTCACAAAAATTATTAAATTCAAAATATATCCTACAAGTTGTCAAAATGAAAAATGAAAATATATTTACAAGACAAAACTGACAAAGATTATGAGAGTCTAAAACCAGATAGGCCTACTACAAATAGGCTAGTCAAAAATAAAAATATCAAATATATTTACATGTCAAAATTGACAAAGATTATGAAATTTAAAACAGATCCTAGTCAAAAAAATGTAGGGTAGCCTATTTACAATTCAGAATTGTCGAAGAGTATGATTGTTTTTAATGCAGGGGCTGATGCAGAGTGGGACATCGGCGCATGGAACGCACATGTAATATGTGTCTGTCCTCTTTGAATGCCTCC